CCTATCCAGTTAACGGCGTTATAATTGATGCGAGAAATTAAGGACGTTAATGATAGCCTGGGTGGAATAGCTATCAAATGTTTGAATGCATCTTCATTAACGTCCTTAATTTCTCGCATCAATTATAACGTCGTTAACTGGATAGGATTGAATTGATACAAATTTCAAAACATAGGTACCAAATGCCTACATTTTTAAAACCGGGTACTAAACAGTTAACGCCGTTACTTATAATATAACGGATAGGATTGAATTGATACAAATTTCAAAACATAGGTACCAAATACCTACATTTTTAAAACCGGGTACTAAACAGAAAATTACCTCCTAACATAGGGACTAAGTAGGTAATTAAACCTAAAAATATCTAAAGGAAAGCTATCCAGACTAAAAATAAAATAAAAATAACACATATAATTGAATTACTAAATCATAAGTCTGCATTATGAAAAATATAAAAACATATGGGCCCCGTGTTTAATTTTGAGGGAGTGGCCAGCCCTACCCTTCCATAATAGGAAAAAACACATAATGCCACCTACGTAGAAAGAAGAGACGCACTTCAGTGGGAAAATATTTAAAAACTATATTAATTTCTATTGAATCAGTGACGAAGAACCGTCTCTCACCAGACTGATGATATGGTCCGGGTATAAACTCAATCGTTAGGTATAAAATGGTTTGCACGCAGTATCGATTTATATGAAATGAAGTCAAAGTCATTCTTAAAACAAACTACTCGTAGAGAACAACGAAATTCAATCTTTATCCGCACAAGAACCAAATCAAATAGAATTCTTAAACAAACTTCACACTAATAATCTTCTTTTGGTCGACTAAAGAACACATTGTGTGGAGTCACTGCAATACAAGCATAAAATTGCAATTCAGATTTTGGTTTATCCATTTAGTATGATTTCTTAATTTTGTTTTAAATAAAATCAATCAACATATATAAGAAGCTAGAGAAGAAAACAACATAACGAGCAGAGAATGAAAAACCAAGTAGAATACGCCTTTTTTGGTATCCCATCTACTGAGTTACTAGGAAATAAGAATGCGTTTACTAATCACAGTAAATAAAGAGCTTCAGCAGTTTGCCATGTTTGGAAGAGCCAGGATAGGAGTTAGTAAAGTATGAATCATGGAGTAACTGGTACGAGAAGAAATACATACAATTTAACAGGTGGACGAGATATTATAACAAGCACTTGTAAATCCTCGTGTTCGTTGGTGTTCCAAAGCTGTAACACAGATTCTTTTAGTAATTTAAAAATCAACAGGGCACAAGAAGACCTTGACTAAACAATAAATATCACCACCAAAGCGACACGTATTAGAGTAGAATATAAACAATGGAGATAGAACAAAGAAATTATAACAAACTCCCAATAGTTACTTCATTCGCCCAACTTGCATTTCATTTGAACATCATTTGACATGGTACACAGGCCCAACCAAAGCTAGTACTCTTTCAATAAGCTCACGCATTCTAGTTTACAACACGGACAAGGAAAGGTTAGCCCTACATGCCAGCCTGCTATATTTTCTCAGGTAAAAGAAAAGTTTAAACTTCTTACAATATGATGCTCCCTAACAAGAAAAATTGTCAATAACATTACTAATAGCCATACATGCCAAGTTATCATTATCCAAAATACAAAAGGAAGTATCCATGACGTCTTATCTTTCCCTTTATCAACATTTTGATCTGTTAAAAACATATAGCACCTTACTTAATGCAAATGTACCAATTCTTTAGATTAAGTGATCAACAACCCATAACATTTAGAAAACTTGGCACTTAACATTCTAATGTTTATGACTTGTCCCGAAGATATTATTCTCAAGAATGTTTACAATCCTAAACTTTTTTACCAAAATCAAATTAAATTGGAGACGTCTCATTGTTGCTTAAAATGGTTTACCTGATGAACATCATTAACAGGAATATGAAATGTGCTATTTGTAAAGATAAAGTGCTCCTGCGGCTTTCCAGGGTATTTTCCATGCGAATCTGATGCAAGATAAAGAGTGCCACTCCCTTTGAGAACAACAAAAACCTCTTCACAGGAATGCCTATGAATTGGGGTGTATGTTCCAGGTGAAAATGTTTGAAGCCATACTTCAACCTGTTCCAGGAAAGTTTGGACATCATAGACCACACAGATAGCTGCAAAAAGGATTTAATACCTAAAGCGAGAGTAGTTTAGGACTATGAATTCTCCTAGTAAAAACTAAGTTTTTCTTTGACTTCTAAAAAATAATATAATAAAACTGAGTCTGCTTAGAAAAGTTTCTTCAGATGGATTTTCATGAGAGAAATAAGAAAAAAAACAAAATAAATTTTTCCATTAGCTAAAATTAACTAATGTATAAATCAAAAATAAGAATTTAAAGAAGTTATGTAAAAGAGCTTCAACAAAATAGCTTATGAATAAGTTAATTTTAACTTTAAAAATAACTCATTTCATTTGTTTCTTAGTATTTTTATCTCTTACCAGTCCTTCTGTAAAAGTTTATACCAAGAACTTGTTTATCAATAACAAATCTATTGTTTCAATAAACAAACGGCACAACACAACAATGAAGTATTATAAACAATCAGCTGCTCCTTCAGTTAACTCCCTTTTTCACATTTACTACTTGATACCTATCATTCAATACAATTTCATTTACTACTTGATACCTATCATTCAATACAATTTGGATTCATTTTTCTTAATATAATGTTAGTAATAACAGCATTTCACGATTGTCATATGACTTCTCATATAAAAAAAAATTAAGTTGGATACCTCCTTCAATCCATGTAATAATGAACCTGCAACAGTCATGTGAGAGAGTCCCGCCCTACCATAGTTATCCTGAGGAATCTCGCTGATATTTCTCACTAGTGATAACCCTGTATATTTGTTGATTTAAAAAATGAACCCAGAAATTTTAATTGAGTAAAAAATAACACTGGTAGGTTGAACACTTTATTTTATCTAACAAAGAATTGCTAGATAGTAATCATCATTTGATAGCCAGACCAAACATCTCGGTAAATAAATAAAAATAAAGTCATGTACATGTCATGTTATGATATTAGCTTCGACCACCATATGTACTACTTACAGGAAAACATTAAGAATGCAAAATGAATAGAACTTTACTATACGTCAATTTTAGTTTATGCACCTCAACTTTTGGAGAAATTTCAAATTACGTAGGATAGTTTCTATAAAAATTAACTTTAGCTTACTGGAAATGTTCATTTTACTTATTTTTTTTCTTTCTTCTGACTTTTTGTTTTCTTTATATGTGTATAGAGAGAAGTTTATTAATAAATTTATCCAAATAAAACATTAAACTCACTCAGAATTATCAACAAGAAGCTGGTTCGAGTACCACTAGACTATGCCCTCTTAAACAAGATTTTGAGTTCGCGCTTTATAGATATGGTAAGCAAGTTCTGAATTTGAGCATTGTGGACAGAAAAATGTAATTGAGAAAGGAAACCCTCAAAAGGTGGTTAGATTCTCTTACGGAAATTAGTTATTGGGAAAATCATGGATAAACAACCAAAAAATCTCTCACTCACGACGTTATTCGGCGTCCATTTCACATCCAAAAAGACTTATTAGCATGGAGTTGTATAATAACAATGATTGTACTGAAAAATGAAGAGCCAGGTAACCATTTGCAACAATACAACTTAGAAATGCATGCTTATATAATAACAAAGCTAAGAAGAAATGAATTAGGTTGAAATAGAATGCCTATAATTTATATATATAGCAGGCACGAGTTAGTCGCAATGCCAAGACAAATCGTCAAACACGCACTGTGCAAAGCATAGTCAGCAACCTAATATCGTCGAAAGCATCACATTTTTATGCCGGATGAAGTGTTTGGTGAGAAGGAGCACAAATCAGAATCCAAAAAATAACAATTACAAAGCTAAAAGACCGTTAAAAAGAAGAAATATCTATATAAGCACAAACGGAGAAAAGGGATGCAGAAAGAAAGTCACGAGTAACATGAAAAAGAGGATGGAAAGAATAATAAGCATAAGAACTAACCAGTAAGGGGGCATGGCGAAGAAGCTAGAACGAGTACAGAAAATGAGAAGAGACAGAGCAAAAGCAGCGAAGTCTCATAACGTTCTACCATCTTCTAACAAATCCTGGTGATGACGACGTGCACACACCACAAATTGCAGAGAAACACACTGTCTTACAACCATTTAATCACCTGATGTTTTGTTGTCGAGGCTCCACCGCCAAATATTGCTTTGTTTGGATGTGAAATATAAAACAGGAAAAGTAAACATAAAAAAATATTATTTTAATATGATTTAAGATAGGTTTAAATATATATTTTTTTTAGTTTTTTTTTTTACTTTGTTCTGTTTTAGTGTTTACTATGTTTAATTTTTATAATTTGTTTAATTTAGTATTTTTTTATGACCTCGTCTAAATGATTAATTATGTAGATTATATATTAACACTGTTTAAATAAATTGTATGATTTTTACACACATGATTGGTCTAACACAATGTGAATTGGATTTAATTTAATTAATCAATTTTATTAGAAAGTCGTGAAAATCGCGTGGAGGTCATCGTCTTTTTTATTTTTTTGGTAATGGTTCACTGAAATTCGAAGAGATTCATCATCATTGAAATTCTTAATCTATGTGTTTTGTATTTTTTGATTTTGCATATTTGTGCATGGACAGTGGTGGTGATTTAGGGCTTTGATGTGTGTTTTGCGATTTGGGTAGCATGTTAGATGGTCAACGATTTTGGTTTGTGTCTCACGATGGTGGTGGAAGAGATTTCGCATAGTGGTGGTTTTGGTAGTGTTTCATTTGTGGTTTGTGCGACTTTGCATATCTGCAATTTGGACTTTGGGAATTAGGGTTCAATGGTGGAACGAAATTGTTGTCGTAAGGTGGATTCACGATTTGATTTTACAAATTTGAACATGGTTTACGCAAAAGGGTGGTAAAGATGGCGTTGTGGTTAATTGTTGTTCGCGATGACTCTAATGGTGGTGGTTCAACTTTATGTTTGGTACCCTTTGTGCTTATAGTCTATGTCATGAGTATGGCTTAAAAATTGTGTATGTGGTTAGTTTCTTCTTAACCTTTATCGGAATTGTTTTATATTATTTCATAAATGTTTATAAGTCTAGGAAGTAGCTTAAATTGAACAGCGTTGGAGATTAATTAAATAAAGATGGTTATGTGTTGTAGAAGTTGTGTGTGTGTGTGAGTGCCTCTATCTTATAGGATCTTTATCATATTTGTTATTCTGGGAAAGATGGAGGAGGTGTGAAAAATAAAACAAAACAAATCCAACTCACCATGTTGGATAGACCATGTGTGCAAAAATCATACAGCTCATTCAAACACTACCAACGTGTAGAGAATGTCGTTAACTATTCAGACGATATCATGAAAAAGGATTAAATTAACATAAATTACGAAAATTACGATCATATTGAACACTAAAAAAAAGAGTTTTACATTGAACAAAGTTAACTAAAGTAGAGACACAAAGTAGAAAAACTAAAAGAAATACAGAAAACATATTAAAATTATATTTTAATAAGGTAATTATGATGTTGCTTAACTTAAATTTAAACTTATTCAAAATATTTAAAATTTATTTTCTCTAAAAAATATAATAAGTTTATTTAATATTTTGGTCCTTATATTTATTATTTCTTTTGGCTCATATTTTTATGTTTTGAAGTTAAAACTCAAATGTGTTTTGAAGTACAATTTGGTTATTGTGTTGTATTTTGAAGTAAATTTAGTTATTCACATGTATTTATGAATCTATTTCTAGATCAATATTGCATTTATCATTTTGGATATTATGGTGTATTTATCAATTTAGGTATTGTAATGTATTTTGAAGTATAATGTTGATTTGTTAATGTATTTCTAGAATAACTAAGATATTGTATGTAATGTATTTGCCAACAAATTAGATGTCTTTATCATGCTTACTTCTATACTGAAGTCAAACTTCCCATTTATTCACTTTATAACATTACAAATATTGTCTTCACATTACATAACGAGATGCTACATGTATTCATCACACTTACTACAAACCATGGTAATTTCATTCCATCTATGTTTTACAATAGGTCATGAAAATTTCAACAACATTACATTGGTTGGACCCACTTTTTGGAATCCTTAAAAGATTTCTCTAAATTATATATCTTCGTCATTTGTCTCACGATAATAACATATATTTCACCACTAACATCTTCACTACACTATTTGAAATAATTACACATTACCACATCTTCACTGTACCATTTGAAATAATTACACCTCACCATATATTCACTGTACCATTTGAAATAATTACACCTCACCACATCTTCAGTATCATTATGTTCTTCAATAGAACCATAAAAAAACAAATATTTATTATCAACAATTATTTTTTGAAAAAAATCTGAAATCAAAAAGAAATTTCATGAATTTAACCTTATAGTTATGACAACTCTAAAATTGTTTTATAGCATTCTTAACAGTTATAAATGTTCTCAAAATTGCAACATTTCCATAGTTCCAAATGTATGTTACTCCTAACCCTCTGTTTCCACCACATAATAGGAATTGTGATAGTTTTCCATTCCAAAGCATTACAATCTGAAATACAAAATTCATACTTCAAAAAGTACAATAATTGTATTCCAGATTTTAGTAGTTGATAACTCCCTGTTTTTGCACTTTTATTTGTGGTTAGGAGTTTAAATTAGTCTGTTTTTCTTTTTAAATGTTTAGAATTAGGCTAGTTTTATGTTTTTCTCTTTAATTCTTTAGTTTTGTAATATTTTAGTTAAAAAGAAGTTTTTAGAGGTATTTTTAGTGATTTTAAACAAGTAAACATTTTAGCTTTTCTAAATTCTTTATAAAAAATGTTTTTCTTTAGTCTTTTTTGTTTAAATAGTTTTTCTTATTTCTTTAATTGCTAGATAGTCCTTGTTCTTCTTTCTTTTATTGTTGATTAGTCTTTTTCTAAATTCTTCTTATTTGTAGGGGAGCCCTTAGTTAAAGGGGTGGTCAACAAAAAGAAAAAAAAAAGAGGAGCTGGCTGTTAATAAACGCGTGTTTTTTCCTTTCTCATTGAGCTATATTTTGGACAGAAGAAATTGGTATCAGAGCAATGTTTATCCTCTGCCTTGTCTGGTTCATCCTTTGCGTATTGTGTTTTTTAATCTTAATTGTTTTGAAACTGGGTAGAAAGAAGAAAGTGTTCTGTGAAGTTTCTGGGATGGAATGAAGCCTTTCATGTTTTAATGCTAAAACCATAAGATATTGTTTTGGGTCTGTGTTCATACACGCTTTCGTTTGGGACCCAGCTGAAGGTTACATATTATTGAAACGCATTTACATTTCATTTTGGGCATATTAAAGAAGAGAATTCTCTTATGCCGTGTTCGCATGAACGGATAATACTGTTCATGCTGAAATGCGAGTGATGAATTCATTCAATTGTGATGTTCGTTTCAGCTGATAAGAATGGATGAGCGAAGACGGGTTTGCGGGATTCATCCGATTTTGGTCACCCGCATGAACGAGGAGATTTGCGTGAATTCTTACGGAAATGTCATGTATGCCCTCCACTTATTAGTTAAATTCCAGCCGTGTACATCATGTATAACTAATTCCTAACGCAGTGCAAACACAATGCAGTAGCACATAACCGATTCCAAACACTGCATTAAAAATATTATCATAACAGTTGTATGGTGGTGGTCAGCTTTTACTTTAATACTGTTCATACACGGGAGTGCTTCTTGGCTTTGGCGTGGTGGCGTGGTTACTGAAATATTCCTGTGTTGTGCTTTCCTCAGTTGATGTTACATTGCTTGATAAATCCATTAAACAGCAAAGATTCCTGCACATACACACAGTGAAAGTGCAGTGTGGATATGAAAGCACCATTGACCATAACACAGACTTCATATGCGGTTGATAGTGTGTAGGTGGTTCTATTTATTGAGGGATCAGAAGCATAATAAATTGGTTGCTGTTGAAAGCTGTGTGCGAAGGGAAAGTGGTCGGTTGTTGCGCTGAGACGAGGAAGACAAACTGGTGAGGTTAGTAGAACGTATTTTGATGTATGTGCAACCATTGGTTTTGATTTGCAGGTTTGTAGACTGGAAGGAAGAATGACGTTGTGCGTGTTGATGACATGAAGAAGCAAAGGATTGAAGAAGAAGATGAATCTGCGTGTCTGAGAGCCGAAGAAGACGATGATGAACAGTGAAGGACGAGGCTCGCGTAATCGGTTACAGCGTTTTGAAGAATTTCCTACACATGTGTAATCGGTTACCGCAATCTTGTATCCGGTTACAGGGGTATGTGTAATCGGTTACTCGATTGTTGGGTTGAAGAAGGATCTCCGGAGCAGCTGCAAGCGTTGGACCACGGTTGTTGTTGGACGGCACTGTGGAAGAGATGATGGACTGGAGTGGAGAGGTATGGTAGGGGTGAGTGGTTGTGAGTGTTGAAGAGAAGCATTGGAATCGTTGTGCTTGGTAGGCAATGACACGATTTGGGTGGAGGTTGTTATGGAGGACGTCGTCAGCGTGGCGGAGGCCATCTGAGAGATAAGAAGGTGGAGAAGGAAGCAACAATGTTATTGATAAGAACGGTGGAGAAGCAAGCATATGGAATGCGGATGAGGAGTGAAACATATGTTGTCCATGCAGAGGAGTGGATGGTGGTGGGTGAAAGATCATGGTCCTTGCTCTGACAGTGCGTTTGTGATGCATGTGTTGATTGGTTGGAGGCATTGTGATCCTAGTGGGCGTAGGTGCGTGAAGGTGGTCGAGATTGCGAAGTTGCTGGACCGGTGTGGGAGCTACGAAAGGTGAAGGAGGTGATTCAACAACATCAATTTGTATCATTTGCCGTAGTAGTAGTAGGTATTGAATGAAATGAATTGGTGTTTTGTTCTTCTTTGTTCAAAATCAAACCAAAGTGTCATGACTTGGATAGTTTAAGTATGAGTTATTAAGTAATTTTTATTGACTTGGTAGGAAACAGGTTGGTTTTATAGACTTCCATTAGTAGAAAAGAGGTGGCTGTGTGGTTGGTTGTGAAAGTGGGCGAGTGTGGTGCATCAGTAGACCAAAGTGGTAAAGGTTAATGTAACATTGAAAGTTAAATTCAGTGTTGTGCAAGCATTGAAAATTGGGGCTGTTATCTAATAAACGCATATGATTATATTTGCAGGTTTGAATGCAAGGTAGCGTGTAAGGTGAAATTGGTTGTGTGATGTGACGAAAATTGGTTGTGCCACTCATTTCTGAAAATTTGTTGCTGAAACGATATTCAAGTGTGCATATATGTGTTGAACGTCTTCAAGAGGTAAGTGTTTTAGATTATTTGGATGTAATATATATATATTTGAATGATTGAATCAGTGATGGTTATGTGTACATTTACAAGTTTGAATGTATGAATGAAATATATTATGGTGATTTATATTTCTATGTTATTTAATATATGAATGTATTAATATTTGAAACCTGAATTTGATTTGTTATATGTATATGTATGTAGTTGATAAAAAATACTTGAAATGTTGTTGTTCTGTCATGGTATTTGTTGTTGTTTATTTATAATGATTAGTTGAATGTATTAATGTATATATCAATTATGTTTAATGAATATATTAATGCATGATTTTGATTGTAGTATGTGTAATTGTTTAAGTAAATATAGATGGAAGAATATATAGATTTATCATATTTGGACTGTGAAGATGTAGATGATGATGTGGTTGGTGTAGACTTCAAAATTATCGCAATGATACGTCAACACTTACAAATAACCACTTCATTGGCGGCAATAACAATGTTATGCATTTTTGGACACGCATTGAGTATCTTGAATATGTACTCCAGTGATTTTAGTAGTGTAAGCAATTACCTACCTGATAGAGACCGTCGTAGGGAGCAATTAATGTCATATCTTGTGCATACTAATCTGTGTCTCGATATTATTAGGATGGGTCCAGAGGCATTTATTAATCTTTGTGAGAGACTAAGATCAACTGGGTTAGTTAAGGACGCTATTCAGTCGACAGTGGAGGAACAAGTTGCTAAATTTCTTCATATAATTGGTCATAATGTTAAGAATCGTAGTGTGGCATTTTTCTTTCATCGATCAGGTTCGACGGTTAGCAAACACTTTCACAATGTGTTGGATGTTATCTTAAGTTTAGAATTTGAATTTCTAATTCAACCATCAGGAAATGAGGTTCATCCACATGTGTTGAACAACAATCGATTTTATTCGTACTTTAAGGTAGTGATTTGATTATATTTTAAACGTTATTTCAACAAAGGATGATAACAAATTCTGAGTCATATGATGAGTTCATATTTTTATGTTTAGGATTGTTTAGGGGCCATAGACGGTACTCATGTTAGGGTAAGGGTTCCAAAGTCTAAAGCTCCGAGATTTCGAGGAAGAAAAGATTGGCCAACACAAAATGTGTTTGCGGCATGTGATTTTGACATGAAATTAACATATGTTCTTGCTGGATGGGAAGGCACTGCATCTGATTCAAGAATTTTAAAAAATGCTCTTGATCGAGATGATCTGTTGGTTATCCCCCAAGGTCAGTGTCTAAACAATCGATGTGCACGAAGTTATTTAGTAGTGACTAATTACCTTTGTATGTGCAAAATTGTAGGAAAATACTACCTTGGTGATGCAGGATTCATGTTGAAAAGCACAATTTTGACTCCATATAGAGGCGTAAGATATCACCTTAAAGAATATACACGCAGAGGACCACAAAATGCACGGGAGTTGTTTAATCATCGCCATTCATCATTGAGAAATGTAATTGAAAGAACTTTTGGTGTGTTGAAAAAAAGATTCCCTATCATTACAAGTGGCACTGAACCACACTATGGATTGGAGACGATGACAAACATCATACTAGCTTGTTGTATATTACACAACTTCCTTCGGGGCATGGATCACGATGACTCATTACTCGATGAAGTTGATAACGAGTTGAATGAAAGGGAACAACATGATGTTTCATCATCTCAAGTTAGAGAAGAGGACCATAGGATTGGTAGTAGTATTAGGGATTCTATAGCCGATCATATGTGGCGAGATTACCAAAACTCGTAGTTATTGTATTTTATTGTATTGTATTTTCATTTTTTTGTTATGTGTATGACAACAAATTCATCTATCAAGAAGACTGTCTGCTGTTCTTGAACGACATACACAGGCCATGCAGCGTCGAATCAACCTGGTAAATGCTACCATTCAATCATCTAATCCAACTACAGAGGAAATTGAAAACTTGTTATGGACTATGAACATTGAAGACCATAATTTAAGCAGACAGTGCTTCGAATTTTTATCTTCGCATCCATCTCATACAAGACGTCTAATAGGGATGCCAATACAATATCGTTTCAATGCATTGCAACGATACCTTGTTGAATCAACGTCATGATGAATTATTAAAACAATATTTGTATGTTGAATTCTTGCAACTTTTTTATATGTCGTGTGATATTATAACTTGCTACTTAATTGTGGTTGTTTGATTAATGTTAATCATTCTCACATGCGTGACAAATAAATTGATATCACTTCGTACTAAATTATATTACAATTTAATTCTACATTTTAAAATACATTCATTTTACTACAGTTTAAATTTTAAAATTTTTAAACATTAATTTTAACAATTATTCATAATTTTTTTCTCTTTATAAACATTTTTACAATTAAATATAACATTACAAAATAATATTTTATAATACTTTTATAAGTAGGGGCAATTTGGTAATCTTTATTTTCTACAAATTAAACTAATTTTTAAAATCTATCACATCAATCAAATCCTACACTAATTCTCACAAACTTTACTTCTAAATCCACTCTCAATGAACCACAAATCCACTCAAAAAAACAACTAAAAAATTACCCTCAAATTCACTCAAATCCATTCAAATCATCTCCTCCAAATACCCCCAAAAGATCACACCCTTAAACGTGTTTCATTTATAAGAAGTGTCCGTATTTTATTTTTTATTCTTCTTTTGTGCTTGCATACATACCCGTTAGGTTGAAGGCATGTTGCGACTTCTGACTCTTAATCAAAGCTTGCTTTTTCTTTTCTACACATATTAATTGCCTTTATATATATATATATATATATAAATATTATGATATTATGATATGCATTGTCTATTATTATACCTGCAATCAAATTAAATTAAAATTATAAAAAGGCAAGTGGAATTTATGCTAATATTTAATGTTAGTATAAAAAATTTGAATATTATATGTTTATAATATAATTCATATTTTATTTTGATTAAATATAAGACGCTTAGAGAATATTAATTGTTAGTGATAAATATAAATTTTAGTAATTAGAAACTAATCAGAGCATCTTTTGTACCGTAAGATTCTTTTGGTATAACACGTTTTTTTTGGAGTCGTCCTCTAACGACCGTCGTCTTGGGGTTGTCCTTTCGGGTCTGTCTTTCCGTGGCTGTTTTTCCGAGGTTGTTCTCCTGAGGTCGTCTTTCCGAGGTCGTTCTTTCGTGGTCGTCTTTCCATGGCCATGTCCAACGATAATGACTCCTTAAGCCCCTGATGTAAATTAAGGTGTGATTGCACCGTCACTAGGCCAGCGAAAGGTAAAGGCTCATCACCAACTAATATAAATAAAGGTCTTATATAGACTTTAGGGTCACGGTGCAAATTATATTCATCACATGCTTAGCTAACTGATGGGTTATATTACTAATTTGAGTGTCGGAGTGCCTTTGACAGGTATCCGCCCGCATGGCTTTGACGAGAAGGAGGTAGAGCGAACGTAACTTGGAGGATGGAGGACCACTAGAGAGCTCGTCCGGTCTTTAAGACAACTTGGAGTGCTTTGAGGAAGGAACTTCAACCCTATACCCGAAACATTTTGGCGCCCACCGTGGGGCCAAACGAGTATCCCCTATTGTAGCCATAAGGAACCAGTGAGTGGTGTTTTAAAGGATGTCAACCTTTTAGCCTCAAGAAGTCGACCATTCAACTGCTCGGTCATCCGGCCTCACAAATACATAGCCAAATTTGGCATCAAGCATCCGGCCATCCGGCCTCAATTGCTCGACCATTCAGCCTCACAGATACTTAGCCAAATTTGACATCAAGCATTCGGTCATCCGGCCTTAGTTGCTCGGCCATCCGGCCTCACAGATACTTAGCCAAATTTGGCATCAAACATTCGACCATCCGACCTCACATATACTTAGCCAAATTTGGCATCAAGCATCTGGCCATCCAGCCTCAACTATTCGGCCATTCAGCCTCACAGGTAATTAGCCAAATTTGGCATCAAGCATCCAGCCATCCAGCCTCAACTGCTCGGTCATTTGTCCTCACAGGTACTTAGCAAAATTTGGCATCAAGCATCCGGCCATCCGGCATCAACTGCTTGGTAAATCGACCTCAGGTATTTAGCCATTCGGCCTCATCTGTTCGGCCATTCAACCTCAACTGCTCGGCAATTCGACCTCAATTGCTCGGTCATTCGACCTTACAGGTACTTAGCCAAATTTGGCATCAAGCATCCGGCCATTCGACCTCACAGGTAATTAGCCAAATTTGGCATCAAGCATCCGGCCATTCGGCCTCACAAGTACTTAGCCAAATTTGGGATCAAACATTCGATCATCCGGCCTCAACTGCTCGGCCATCCAACCTCACAAGTACTTAGCCAAATTTGGCCTCAAGCATTCGACCATCCGGCCTCAACTGCTCGATCATACTTTGGACTTAAAGGAATCCCGACCGGCCTCACCGAAGGTCGGCGACCATAGATCTTCACCAAAGGAATCCTAGTCGGTCTCACCGAAGGTCACCAATCGTGGATCTTCACCAAAGGAATCTCGGCCGGCCTCATCGAAGGTCGGCGACCGTGGATTTTCACCAAAGGAATCCCAGCCGGCCTCACCAAAGGTTGGCAATCATGGATATTCACCAAAGGAATCTTGGTCGGCCTCACCGAAGGTCGATGACCGTGGATCTTCACCAAAGAAATATCGGCCGACCTCACCGATGATCGATGACCGTGGATCTTCATCAAAGGAATCCCAACCGGCTTCACCGAAGGTCGGCGATCGTGGACCTTCACCAAAGGAATCCCGGTCGGCCTCACCAAAGGTCGACTACCATGGATCTTCACCAAAACAATTCCAGCCAGCCTCATCGAAGGATCAATAGTGTATCCAACTCAGCCAACAAAGGCAAGACCTATTTTTTCAACCATCCATCGTGATCAACGAACAAAGAGGACATAGAGACAAAAGCCAACCGGAGAACCCGTCCTTATTAGGAAGGTCATGTACAAAACCCCTTCGCAGAATAACATCATGCTCAAGCTTGGGGGGCTTGTGTACTGTACGGTCCTCTTGGTACCGTATGTTCCTCTTGGGGTCGTCCTCCTGGGGCCGTCCTCCCATGCCCATCCTCCCGAGGTCATCCTCCTGTGGCCGTCCTCCCGGGGTCGTGTCCAGTGGTAATGACTCATTAAGCCCCTAATGCAAATTAAGGTGTGATTGAGTCGTCATTAGGCTAGCGAAAGGTAAAGGTCCATCACCAACTAGTATAAATAAAGGTCTTAGGTATGACTTTAGGGTCATGGTGCACATTATATGCTTCACTTATTAACTTGAGCGTCAGAGTGCCTTTGAGTAAAGAACTTCAACCCTATACCCGAAACATCTTTAATTAATTAAAATTATATTATAAAGATAAGTTTATTGAAACATTAATTGTAACTATTTAATGTAATATGATGAAATATACCTAAAGGACTTTTCTTACATTTATATGATTAATTAGAATAAAATATTTATTATGATTCTTAATTTTCCCACAGGAATTAGGAAATATGACATAATTTAATAGTTTTATCATAAGGTTAAATGAGTTTAATTGAGTAAGACTTTAGCACACATGCAAGTTTTATGTTAATAGATTAATTGGTAAAGACATGTTTCCATTGGTAAAACATGACATTTATTTTAGTCTCAAATTATGATAATGAACATGATTTTTGAATTTGCGGTTTCTCAATCTGTGAATATTTCTAATATCAAGTGTGGTATTCCCGAGTTGAAAGGTGATAATTATAAGGTTTGGAAGGAAATAGTTCTTCTTCATTTAGGTTGGATGGACATTGATTATGCTATTAGGAAATCAGAACCATCAGGTATTACTAAGACCAACACTTTATGAAAAATGGGAGAGGTCAAGTCGTCTCTCTGTAACGTTCATAAAACCAACATTTCTGGTAGGATCCGGGGTTTAGTTGACCAATATGAGAATGCGAAGGATTTACTAAGGACTATTGATGAGCAATTTACCACATCTGATAAATCTCTTGCCAGCACCCTTATAATGCAGTTTTCATCCTTAAAGCTCATTGGCATGTGATCATATCATGCGCATAAGGGACATTGTGGCTCAACTAAAAGCTTTGGAAGTTACCATGTCTAATTCTTTCCTAGCACACTATATTTTGTGAAATTTGCCTCACCATTATGCCCTATTTAAAATCTCTTACAACACACACAAAGATAAGTGGTCTATTAATGAATTATTGATCATGTGTGTTCAAGAAGAAGAAAAACTATTGATAGAATAAGGGGAGAAGGTGAACTTGACCACTTCTTTTAAGAATAAGAAGAACCAAGTTAATAAGAAGGAAAATATTCCTACTCAACCATTTATTAAGAAGAAGTTCAAGTGTTTCTTTTGTAAAAAGAAGGGACACATGAAGAAAGAATGTCCATAGTTTAAGGATTGACTTGAAAGGAAAGGTAATTTATTTGCTTTTGTTTGTTATGAATCTAATATGACTAGTTTTAATCATAACACATGATGGATTGATTCTGGATCTACAATCCATGTTTCTAATACCTTGCAGAATATGGAAAACCTAAGGAAACCGATGGAAAGTGAGCAATGCATCTATTCAGAAAGCAAGATGAGTTCACATGTAGAAGTCGTTGGGACATGCAATTTAGTTTTAAGTAGTGGTTTTGTTATATGTTTAGAAAAGACTTTTTATGTTCCTAGTTTTAACAAGAACTTGATTTCTATTTCAC